ATGGTGAGTTCAGCTCCCAAGCTCTTTAAAAATCCTGCTTATAAAAAATTTGGTAAATATATCTAGCTTTGCATTCCAAGGTACGTAGGATACATTATTAGAACACTCTTTTAACAGTAGGAAAAGACTGGAAGTTAGTAATTCCATTGGAATATTATGTGTCAATTTAATGAATCCAACTAATGTTAATATTGATGCCTCTGTGAAGATAATGGTTTATAAGACTAAAAATTCTGATTATTAGTGCCACCTATGTTTTCTGCTGAGTTGGAATTAGTTTGTTTTTTTTTTGGTTTAATTGGCAGTGATGAAGGTCAAAGAATACAGTATGGATAACACCTGAACGTGAAAACAAAAATTCTCACAACTGGACCAATAAATCACATCATGATAAATGGAGAAGAAATTGAAGTTGTGAACTCTTTCATTCTATTTGGATCAACGATCAATATCCATGGAAATAGCAGTCAAGAAATCAAATGATGTATTGCACTGGACAAATCTGTCACAAAAGGCCTCTTTAAAGTTTTAAAAAGCAAAGATATCACTTTGATGACTAAGGTGCATCTGAACCAAGCCATGGTCTTTTCAATCACCTCATATGCATTTGAAAGTTGGATAATGAAAAAGGAAGACAGAAGAATTCATGCATTTGAATTGTGGTATTGGCAAAAAATACTGAGTATATTGTAGACTATCAAAAAACAAATCATTCTTGGAAAAAATACAACCAGAATGTTCCTTAGAAGCAAAGATGGTAAGGCTTCAACTTGCTTCCTTTGGACACGTCATCAGAAAAGACCAATCACTAGAAAAGGATATCATGTTTGATAAAGAAGAGGGCTAATGAAAACAAAGGAAACCCTCAATGAGATGGATTGACACAAAAGGCGCAACAATGGACTCAAACATATCAATGATCATGAAGATGGCACAGGTCCAGGCAACGTTTTGTCCTGTTATACAAAAGGTACTCATGAGTCAGAGCCAACTGGACAGCAACTAAAACAACAACAAAATTGGCCAAAGGAAAAAGGTATACATAAGAAGAAATAGAGTGTTTGGTTAAAACTTTTATGGGTCAGATGTATAACTCGGAGCCTATGAACTGAGGTGAATTGGGCCCTAGTATTTCAGTTTGTAGATCACCTTAAAATAAAGTGGAACAATCTAGCACTAGGTGTTAACACAAGGTAGAAAAGTCATAGAGTTTGACTTTAAACAAACCCTAAGGCAAATATAAAATAAAAATTTTTGGCTGATGTCTGTCTCTTGACATCTTTAATGTTCTTATACTTCCTTGTAAAGAGAAAAAATAGGGAGGCTCCTTTGATCTTTGGTTAAAAATTCCGCTAAAAGAGTGATACAAACAAATTTGCTATTTAAAAAGACCACTTGGACTGCTCTATGTTGAACAGTTTAGAGGGGAGCAAGTGTAGAAGAGTTATTACCATTCTTTCAGGTGATAAATAATGGTGGTTTATGCCTGCAGTGATGGAAAACAGGTGGATTTGAGAGATGTTTAGTAGTTATGGAGCCCTGGTAGCACAGTGGTTGAGCATTTAGCTGCTAACCTAAAGGCGGGCAGTTCAAATCCACCAGCCGCTCGTCGGAAACCCCATGGGGCAGTTCTACTCTGTCCTATAGGGTCACTATGAGTACAACTCAATAGCAATGGGTTTCGTTTTATTTTTGGTTAGTAGTTATAAACAATAGGACTTGGTGATTAATTGGATGTGGGATGGGGTGTGGTGACCAAGAGGGAAGAGTCAAAGATAATTGTCAAGTGTGGCTAGAATTTTTCACAAAGGCCCTAAGTAGACACAAATGGAAAACCTCTAAGCTTTGCAGTACAGGCTCAATAGAATAAGGGGAAACTGTCCTGGTGCTGGTATAGCAAGAAACTCAATGCCTATAATCTGCACGTTGTTGTTAGGTGCCATCCAGTCAGTTTTGACTCATAGTGACCCTATATACAACAGAACAAAACACTGCCTGTTCCTGTGCCACCCTCACAATCTTTGCTGTGCTTGAGCCCATTGTTGCAGCCATTGTGTCAATCCATCTCATTGAGAGTCTTCCTCTCTTTTGCTGACCCTCTATTTTACCAAGCACGATGTCTTTCTCCAGGGACTGGTCCCTCCTGAAACATGTCCAAAGTATGTGAGACAAAGTCTTGTCAATCTCGCTTCTAGGGAGCATTCTGTCGTACTTCTTCCGAGACAGATTTGTTCATTGTTCTGGCAGTCCACAGAATATCCAATATTCTTCACCAATACCATAATTCAAAGGCATCAATTCCTCTTCAGTCTTCCTTATCTATCATCTAGCTTTCACATGCATATGAGGTGATTGAAAATACTATGGCTTGGATCAGGCACACCTTAGTCCTTAAAGTGACATCTTTGCTTTTTAACACTTTAAAGAGGTCTTTTGCAGCAGATTTGCCCAGTGTAATGCATCATTTGATTTCTTGACTGTTGCTTCCCTGGGTGTTGATTGTGGATCCAAGTAAAATGAAATCCTCAACAACTTCAATATTTTCTCCATTTATCATGATGTTGCTTATTTATTTTCTTTACGCTGAAGTGTAATCTGTGGTGAAGGCTGTACGTAGTGTGATCTTCATCTGTAAGTGCTTTAAGTATTCTTCATCTTCAGCAAGCAAGGTTGTGTCATCTGCATATCACAGGTTGTTAATGAGTCTTTCTCCAATCCTGATGCTGCGTTCTTCATATAGTCCAGCTTCTTGGATTACTTGCTCAGCATAAAGATTGAGTAAGGATGGTGAAAAGATATAACCCTCATGTACACCTTTCCTGATTTTAAGCCATGCAGTATTCCCTTGTTCTGTTCAAATGACTGTCTCTTGGCCTATGTACAGGTTCCTCATGAGCACAATTAAGTGTTCTGGAATTCCCATTCTTTGCAATGTTGTCCATAATTTGTGGGATCCACACAGTTGAATGCCTTTGCATAGTCAGTAAAACACAGGTAAAGCTCTTTCTGGTATTCTCTGCTTTCAGCCAAGATCCATCTGACATTAGCAATGATATCCCTCATTCCACATCCTCTTCTGAATCCAGCTTGAATTTCTGGCAGTTCTCTGTCAATGTTCTGCCTAGGTAATCTGGCTCACTGTGTGCACTGATGAGTGCTTATAAAAAGCAATATGTTCCACTTCAATGATCTTCCAACCTGGAGAACATCTTACTCAAAGTAGCCATTATGCCCACTGAACTTTAGGCATGCCTTCATGAGATACAAGAGAATCAATGGGGTGATGAATCTACCTAACTGCGCAATTATCTCATTTTTATCGTTTACAGCTGATTTGCTGCTTTAGCAATAAATTAAAGCAAAAGTAACTGAACTAAATCCAGGTTGTCATCTGTATCCACCCTTAAACTAGAGTCCAAGGTCTAACCTATTGCACCAAGTTTCTGGCTTGAGCAATCGATTTAAGTAGCTGGTGCTACTCTTGTTTGAAATGGGGAGCAAAGTGAAAGAGGACCAAAATTTTTTGTTGTTGTTGTTGTTGCTATTACTTTTGTTGTACTCGTGGGGAAGTAAAGAAAATAAACTTAGTTTTGGATGTGTTGACTTTGAGGCCACTTACTATTGTAGAATCTAAAATGCACAAAGAGTCACAGGATATGAAGCTAAAGAAGGTAATTAGGAGCCAAACCATAATGATCGATTTGTCAGGAAATTCAGCATTGTTCCTTGCATTAATTAAAATAAACTAGTGTAATTATTAGGAGACAGTTAAACTGAAGTTAGGCTTAATTCTACTAAAAAAAAGCCTTCAGGAAGTATCTTGATTATAATCTCCTGTTGATGAAGCCTAAGGCAACAGCTATGTACCTACAAGTTCTTACTACTAATTAGGAGGCTGAGATTGCTAACCTCTAATTGGGTAATTTGCAAATATTTTTCACATTACAACATCTTGTAATACAATGCATTACTTTCCATTAAAATTGTTGCTAAACTTCAGTTTTCCAATATTTTTATGTTTCTGTATTTTTTAAAAAGAAGTGGTAATACTCTTGATTTCAGTGAAGGAAAAAAAAGCAATTTAAGCCTACTACCAAAACAAAACATACCAGAATGAACAGATCACATATTTTAACAGAGCTTCAGAGTATGGCAAGCACATTTTTACCGCAGAGCCAGACTCCACAAAAAGCTGCAGGTGGATCTAAGGAAATCTTCATGGCAACTGTGGTTATTACCCTTTGTTATAGTTTAAATGGACATAAGTTTCTTAAGTCCAGAAAGTCAACGATTTATCTTTTAGAATTTTATTTTGAGGAAGCTGTTGCATTTTTTCTATGGAAGAGTTCAGCTTCTCACTTATGAGAACAATATTCCTTCTGCAGAAGGAATTTTTGCCTTAAAAAGATAATTCTAGATTACCACTGTAATCTACCCTGTTGAGTATTTTTGAAGTTAAAAAGATCATTTTAATATTGTCACTTAGGAATTTTCCATTCCTGATGAATCTAGTGGTATAAACTCTCCGAGAGAATTGCTAATGCTGACTTTGGTATTTGATATGGAGTGCACTATTAAAGTTTGTTTTTGATATTTGGTATGGTGAGCTTTCTTTTAGGTCTTTTGTGTGCCTCAATTTCCCTAATCTTTTTCTGATAGACCAAGCCTACAGGTTACGCCCCATTTTAGTGCTTTTATTTACTTAAGATGTTTAATTAATCCTCATAGGGCTCATTTCTTGTAGTTGACTATAATTTCCTATAGTAGGAGGTCCTAAACTCCTGCCGGCACTGTTGGTCTTATTACTATGCCTGCAGATGCTTAATAAACACACTGAGACGATGTAAGAGTGCGAGGCAAATTCTTTTGAAGCTTTGCCTTTGGATTTCTAAGTTTGTTTTTTTTTGCCTAGGACCCAACATCTGTGACCAGTACACATGAATATGACTGGATCGAAAGTTTCACGAAATAATACTTATTCCACCACCCGAGATGCCCGATATTTCTTATCCTACTTCCTATAAAACAAAAACCAACACACGCACCCGCAACCCTTCCAGGGAGAAACCAGCTAAATACATTTCACGAACCACTAACGGGTCGTTAGAGACAGATTGAAGACCGCTTCTCTGGCATTTGTCTGTCGCGGCTGTTTCCGTCAGAGCTCTTCCGAAATGCGGCGCTTTTAGCTAGGAAGGCAGCGATCTGCAGATAAGTCATTGGGCAGCACTACCATTTCGCCCCTGGAGGGAGAAGGGAGAGAGCCAGCTTTCCTCCCTGGAAGTAGCCTGGCACTAACCTACAGCTCCGACTCGGTGAATGATTCAGTATTCGACCCATTTCCTGCCCTCCAGTTTCCTTGAAGTGTCCCGCCCCCTTCATCTTTTCAAGCCGAATTTAACTTCTCCCCTGCGAAGTGGGCAGAGCGCCGAATTATCGATGCTTCCTCCACGCCCCGGGAGCCGCCATTTTTGGGGGAGGAGAAACACATGTAGGGGCTGTAGAAGATCAACGAGATGTTGACTGGTTTTTGCTTCTCTTTCCAGCAGGGTGGGGCAGGTTCAGGAGAATCCACCGGGGCCGTTCCTCCCGCTGCCTCTCCGGAATGAGGCCTCAGTGCCCAAACGGGACATCTCCTCTTCTCCGAGAGTGAGTGTCGCTTGGCGGAGCGGCGGCCCGGCGCCCTCGCGCGCCCCCGTCTGTCGTTATCCCGCGCGCTTCCGTCTTCGCGCTCCGCTCCCAGCGCGCTCCCGCCCCTCCCCCGTCTGGCCCGGCGCTCGGCGCAGACTCGCTTGTTTGTTTCTGCAGGAGCCTAAGAAGAGGCTGAAGCCGAGACGATGCCCGGGAAGCTGAAGGTGAAAATCGTGGCCGGGCGCCATTTGCCAGTGATGGACCGAGCTAGTGACCTGACTGATGCCTTCGTGGAGGTTGGTGCAAGGTCCTGCCCCTCGAAATACAGGGAGCGCCAAGCCCTTTGAAGAATCCTACCCACCTCTCCCCCAGCCCCTCAGCCTAGTCTCGTTTCGACTGCCTTCCTGCTTTTCATGTTGTCTAGCCGTTTTTCCAGAGGCTGCTGCGAGACTGCAGCCCATGTGATGGGTGCGCGGCTCGCAGGTGTCCGCGGCACACTCCGCCGCGCCGGGAGGCTGGCTGTTCCTGCTCTGCATGCTGGGGTGACCCTGATGTCAGGACTCAACAGGCCACCTGCCACTCAGGAAATCCCAAGGCTTGGCTGCACGGCCACCGAAACACACACACTCACTTTCTTTAGGGTAGGATTTGCTCTTCAGGTAGACTGATGGAGATCATCTTTAAAAATGTAGGTACAGTCGACAGTCCTTTATTGGCACTTGGAGACTTACAAGGCGAGGAAATCCAGTCTTTAGTGTAACATTTTCTGAATCATCAATGCAAGTTCTAAAGCACAACTGAACACTCTCTGCTCGTGTATAGACTGGTTGGTCTGATGAACTCTTGCTGGATAATTTATTGCCTTAAGGTAGGAAGTCAGTTAAGTGCCATGGGCTTGAATTGCAAAATTGCTTTTTAAATCTAGTGATTAGTTTAAAAGTCATGGAAATTAACACAGGCCTGGGGCCCAGAAAGTAATAACTTAGAGTCTGAAAGAAGCCAAGTAAAAATTGACATGATGAGCCAAAGCATTAGAGCAATATTCATTTGGGCTATTAATTCTTAGAGTTGATAGATAGTATACATCCTAATTTCATCTCAATATTAAATATTCTTAATGTTCCCTAAAGGTTCTCTAATAACTGCAGTTTCTTACCAAATATTGTCACAGTAATTCTTAATCTCAACTTCATTTCATTTACATGGTGATTGTATTTCTTGAAAATTACATATATTAAAAACCCTTAAAAATACTCTATAAAACAAAGTTATGTTCTAAGTAGGTTTTTGACTTATAAGACTTTCTGGAGGGGTGTTTGAAAGTCATGACATGGGATAAGGTTTCATTGTTTGAGGCTGTCTCTTGTGTTACAGGCTATCTAACATCTCTGGCCCATCTTCACTAAATGTTACCAATGTTTGCCTCAAAAAAATCCTAGAAATTTCTAAAGCTTCTTTAGAAGTTGGTTCTGTCCCTTTTGCAAACATTGACTTAGAAGAGGGATGGATTTGTGAGGAAAGTTGACATTAAGAGTTCTGTTAGAAGGGGACTTGGGGAAGGAAACTGAAATTAATAGCTCAGTGGGTGGGAGAAAAACTGGGAAGGTAATAAATACCTCAGAAGGCAAGATATAAAGAGGAAGCCCTCAACTATCAAATGGGACTGAGAAGTTAAGTAAGAGAACAGAAAAGTCGTTGGATTGTAAACATGGAGGTTATTACTGATCCTGACAGGAGTGATGAGGATGGAAGCCTTATAGTGTAGTGTAGAGATTTAAAGCACATGGAAGTGAGGAAGTAGAAATAACACGAATAGGGAACTGTCTCAAGAAATATGGTTATGAAAGGAGAAGTAATGTATTTGGAGAGTTTGTAGCTTTTAGTATCTTTTTTTTATATAAGAAGTTACGAGAACATGGTTGTGTGCTAATAGGAATAATCCAGCAGAAAGGACCAAATTAATACAAGGAGAAGGGGATAATGAAGGATTATAATATAATGAAGGGCTACATTATGTGGTGTAGACTGTAAGTACTATATAAGCTCATAGGAGAGGGAGATAATCAAGCCTGGGGTAGACATGAGAAATCTTTGTATTGAGCCTGAAGGGTGGTAAAATTTAGATAGGCAGAGAGGAAAAAGGCATTTTCAGAAGCACAGGACAAATTTGGTAAAAGGTAAAGGAGGCATAGAGCATATGTAAACTGAAAGGAGGGTTCTTTTTTTTTTTTTTAATTGTACTTCAGGTGAAGGCTTACAGAACAAATAGTTTCTCATGAAACAGCAGTACACATGTTATTTTATGACATTGGTTAACAACCCCACAACATATCAACCCTCTAACTTCTCAACCTCTTTTTTTTTTTGGTGAAAATACACATAGCCAAAGATACACCATTTCAAAAATTTCTACATGCACAGTTCAGTGACATTGACTATGCTCTTTGAATTGTGCTGTTATTCTCACTTAAGATGAAGGCTTACAGAACAAAATAGTTTCTCATTTAACAGTTACTACAAATGTTGCCCTATGACAATGGTTAACAATCTCACAACACATTACCAATCTCCTTACTCAGCCTTGGGTTCCCTATCACCAGCTTCCTTGTCCCCTTCTGCTTTCTGGCCTTTGTCGCTGGACTCCTGTACCTCGTTAGTCTCATTTGGTTTTACGGGGCTGTCCACTCCCAGGCTGAACAGTGAACCTCGGAGGTAACTTCACCACTGAGCTAAAAGGGTGTCTGGGGGCCATACTCTCGGGGTTTCTCCAGTCTCCTTTAGGCCAGTAAATCTGGTCTTTTTTTTGTGAGTTCGAATTATGCTCTACATCCTTCTCCAGCTGTGTCCAGAACCCTCTGTTGTGATCGTGGTCAGAGCAGTCAGTGGTGGTAGCCGAGCACCATCTAGCTGTACTGGACTCAGTCCGGTGGAGGCCTTGGTAGCTGTGGACAGTTAGTCCTTCGGACTAATCTGAAAGGAGGGTTCTTGTTGAATAGAAGTGGGAAATAAATTTGGCTAGGTAAGCTGATCCATGGGGGCATTGGTGGCTCAGTGGTAGAATTTTTGATTTTCATGCAGGGGATCCAGGTTCAATTCCCAGCCAATGCACCTCATGTGCAGCCACCACCTGTCTGTCAGTGGAAGCTTCAGTGTTGCTGAAACAGGTTTCAGTGCAGTTTCTAGACTAAGACAGACTAGGAAGAAAGTCCTGGGGATCTACTTGTGAAAACCGTACGAATCACAGCGGTCCAATCCACAACTAATCATAGGGATGGTGCAGGTGCAGGCAGCATTTTGTTCTGTTGCTCATAGGTTCACCATGAGCCGGAGTCCAACTCTGGGGCGGCTCACAACAACAAAGAGGGATCCAGATTACCCAGTGTCCTGAAGACTAAGGGCAGAAGTCTGTACAGCAGAAGCTGTCTTAACCAACTTCCATTAAGTGACTTGCTGCAGTCACCAGTGCTCCACATTCCTTCCATCAAGCATATTCTTCGATGCCCCCATGTCATTAGACTGTCTTCAGTGTGCCTTGTGTGCTGCTTCTCCCATCAGTTGGCTGATGTGCTTTACCAAGAGACATGTCGTGCAAATACCTTGCTGGTATTTGAAATACCGGTGGCATAGCTTCCAGCATTACAGCAACATGTAAGCCACCACAGTATGACAAACTGACAGATGACTAGTGGTACCAAGAGGCAGTTGCATTTGTTCCCAGACCTGTTTATGCCAGCTGTGTTTATTTTATGATTTATTTCAATGTTACATGAATTGGTGAAATGAATGTGAAAGTGAATAATGCTATGTAAAGACTTAATGCAAAGAGTCATTAAAAATTGTTCTTGAATTAGATGGAGAAAGGATTGTAAAAAATCTGATATCTGTTTTCTTATTTCTTTACAAGTGATTTTAGGTTCTACCACCACATTGAAGAAGCCCAAACCAGAAATTACAGATGATACATTATAGATGTGTTTTATGCAAAAAGATGATGTTGTTAGTTGCCACACAGTCAGTTCCAACTTGGTGACTGTTATGGATTGAATTGTGTCCCCCTAAAATGTGTATCAACTTGGCTAGGCCATAAGTCCCAGTACTGTATGGTTGTCCATCATTTTGTGATCTGTTGTTATTATCCTATGTGCTGTAAATCCTAACCACTGTGATATTAATGAGGCAGGATTAGAGGCAGTTATGTTCATGAAGCAGGACTCAATCTACAGGTTTAGGATGTATCTTGAGTCAATCTCTTGATATATGAAAGAGAGAATTGAGCAGAGAGGAGAAGGACCTTATACAACCAAGAAAGGAGTACCAGGAGCGGAGTGCATCCTTTGGATCTGGTGTCCCTGTGGTGAGAAGTTTCTAGACCAGGGAAAGATTGATTACAAGGACCTTATCCCAGAGCTGACAGAAAGAGAAAGCCTTCCCCTGGAGCTGACATCCTGAATTTTGGACCTCTAGGCTCCTAAACTGTGAGAGAATAAATTTCTCTTTGTTACAGCCATCCACTTGGGGTATTTATGTTGTAGCAGTACTAGACAACTAAGACAGTGATCTTATGTACAATAAAGCAGAACAGTTGCCTTTATGTCTGACAGTTTAAAGATGATGGAGAATGCTGAACAGTGGACCCTTACTCAAAGAAGAGGTATTAACCTTACATTAAAAGACTGAAGAATGAATGTTTACATATTTTATCTTAAAATACTTGTGATTTTTATTATTTTTAATGATTCTCTCCTTTAACTGAGTTATTTCATCAGCTGGCCAAGTAATGATTCTGATTGCATGGGTTTAGAGAATTTCTTTGATACAAGGAGTTCAGGGAGTCAGTGAAGGTCAACTGGTATTTATTTATTTTCTTTTATTATTGTGCTTTAAATGACAGTTTACAGTTCAAGTTAGTTTCTCATACAAACATGTATACACATACTGCTATGTGACCCTGGTTACTCTCCCCATGCTGTTACAGCACACTCCTCTTTTCCATCATGGATTTCCCGTGTCCATTCATCCAGCTCCTGTCCCTTTCTGCCTTCTCACCTCTGGACAGGAGCTGCCCATTTAGACTCATGTATCTGCTTGAGCTAAGAAGCACACTCTTCACGAGTATCACTTTATATCTTATAGTCCAGTCTAATCTTTGTCTAAAGAGTTGGCCTCGGGAATGGTTTCAGTTCTTGGCTAACAGAGAGTCCAGGGGCCATGTCTCCTGGGGTCCCTCCAGTCTCAGTCAGACCATTAAGTCTGGTCATTTTACTAGAATTTGAGTTCTGCACCCCACTTTTCTCCT